GCTGTGACCATTTTTATTTTCTGTACAAGCGCAGCTTGTTTTTTCTGCTGCAAGCTGATTGGATGAAGTAAAGTAGGCACCTCATTCAGAAAGATGTGGAAAAGGGTTCTGGAGAGTTATTCCAATCTAACAGACTCCTCCTCCTGCTCACCATTTCTGTTTGTCAAAACTGACAGATGGGGGGGGGGTGTGGTTAAGGATGTTAGCCACGCCCACTACATCAGACAGACATAATCTGAGAATTTAATTGAAAGCAAAAACAGGAAGTGCATTTTCAGATTCCACTCTTAGATTACAAGGACAAACAATTGTGCATATGACATGCACAGATGAATTGTTCACCACAAAACTAGCAATGTGAGCTAACGACATCAATACAGTTTTGATTTCACGTGTACTTTAAAGCCTCACCTTGAGCAGGTCCTGTGTGTCGTCAGTGCAGTAGACGCGGATGTTGTACTCCAGCGTGGAGCAGTAGGCCGGAGCGAACAGCAGCAGTTTCAGCCGTTTAGCAGCAGCCATACTGAGCGACTCCCCGACCAGAGCAAAGCGACCCAGCTGCTCGGTGAACACCCGACACGTCTCTGCCTCCAGCTGGCAGTAATACGGCTCCGACAGCAAGTCTTCACCCAGCAGAAGAACATCCTGAGGAGACAATAGTAGGGATGGGTGATCTGGACTTAAAATAAATCACTATGGAATTAATATTTCTAAAGAAACTCGGGATAAAGCAGTTAAAATTATAAACAAGACTTCATCATGTGCGCATCTTAATCTGATTCAGATGAAAATTCTTTACCGTATTCACTACAGCAAAACCAAACTGGCTAAAATCTACCCCAATATAGATGAAACATGCGATCGTTGCAACTCATGCAAGGCAGACCTAACCATTATGTTCTGGCCATGTGACAAACTGAGACGATTTTGGTCTTCAATATTTACAATTTTAAACTCAGCCTTTAATTTAAGAATTCAACAAAATGGAAATGGCTATTTTTGGAGTAGCAAATGAGGACATCCATGTTGCCAAAGACATAGAAAACACCTTTGCCTTTGTAACATTAATAGCCAGAAGAAGAATTCTTATGGAGTGGAAATCACCAATGCCACCTAAACTGTCACCTTGGCTTATATGTAATGCTATTTTTGAAAACAGAAAAAATTTAATATTTTCTCAGAGGATCAACCAAAACATTTTTCAAAACATGGGACCCTCTAATAATTCATATTGAGACTAATGTACTCCTCCAACCATAAATTCCCACCCCCACCCCACTTTTTTATTTATTTATTTATTTATTTATTTATTTATTTATTTATTTATTTATTTATTTATTTATTTATTTATTTATTTATTTATTTATTTATTTATTTATTTATTTATTTTATTTATTATATTTTTTTTGTATATTTATTTTTATTTTATTCTCATTTTAATTATTATTATTTCTTACTATAATTAATATATTTCCTTTTTAATGCATTTCCTTTTCATAATAATTTTTATTATGTTCATTTGTCTCTTTCAAATTTATGTATGGTTCAAAAAAAAAACTTTATCATTGAATAACTTTAATGTACTGTACCTTTTGTCAAAAACACAATAAAAAAAATAAAAAATAAAAAAATAAAAACATCACTACATAGACCTGTGACCATAAAGATGCTGTGGTCACGCATTGTATTTCTATTTATGTTTCATTTATACTGGACTCTAGAGTATGCCCTCGCAGAGCCTAAAATGAATTTAAACAAACATCGTGCCACCCTGGTCGAAAAGCTGTTCAATTAAATTGTCATTTGAGAGCTGAAGTGGCAAAAATATAGTTGAGTGATTTAACTGAAATCCCATAGAAAAAAAAACATTGACTTTAGGATGAGGAAACCGGAACTGCTAAAATGCTAACTCGCTTCCAGGTTTTTGCAAACAAATTGACGCCATATTCCTCCACTCTATAGGGGCAGGACAGTACATCTGACATTATTCTATCTTCTGGTTGCCATTATCAGTCTCACACTATCTCTTTCCGTTTTCTGAAAGTCATGATTGTAGGAGCCATACATTGGATATTGGCGATTGGCCACCAGGTGTCAGTACGGGAGTATATAACTGCGGCTTCACTGCATTGAGGAAGAGAGCATTGAAGCACACAGTTTTTGAACGCAAGTTAAGGTAACATGAGTAGTGTAATATAGATGAAGGAATATTGATAAAGGAATTCTGTTGATTGGAAGTTGATTAAAATAAAGACGTTTTTATTTGCATCTATTTTGCGTATGGACTTTTACGCGTAAAAAACGTGCTTACTCTAACAACAATAGCGGCCATTGCAGCTACAACCACCAAGTTTCTCTTTTATTATCAGAGCAAATAGGATTGTAAAAAAAAACTATTTGTTGTACCCTCCCAACAACTTCGCTTTAAAGGGTCACGAAACACCAAAACACATGTGTTGAGCTGTTGACAGTGGTATATGTGTCCCACACTGCTAAAAACACTATTAGGACACAGATATTTCACTAAAAAGTGTAAATTGTTTTTTTTTTGTGTTTTTTCAAGCAAATTCGTACTTCCGATTTAAAACAAATTTTTGAAGCTGCGTCATGGATAATAGCGTGTAAACGCTGAGATCCGGATTCACTTGTAATCTCCTCTTAATAAAGACGCGGCTCTAGTTGCTGGTGATTGTTCTGTCTCTACAGATTTGGTAAGTGAGCGACCAGTGCTCTTTGTTTATTCAGTTTGTTCGTATCGAACTAAGTTAACTATTGCACTGAGTGTAAACATGTTAGCACCACAACCAAACTTTAACCTCGTGTAGGGTTTTCACCGCATTTTGTGACCGGAATAACACACGCGGCTTTCTGACACTACCTGCCGTGTGCATCTAAGTTTCCGGGAAATGCAGAGTTTTTTTTTTCTCTCATTCGCCGTGCGGTATCAAACATTGCATGAAAAATACACGCTTAGAGCAGCTCCTCGAATCAAATATCTCGTTTGTCGCGAGGGGCATGAATGAATTCCCTGAATGAAAGAGCCAAACTGCAGTTAAAGAGCCCATATTATACATGAAATAGGGTCATATCCTGGTTGTTAGGGTCTCCAACAACAGTCTAATATGCATGCAAGGTCAAAAAACACTTTCATGGTCTTATAATCTGCATTTATTTTTAGCTAATTATCCCAGCGACTCCTGTATGAATCGTCCAGTGATTCATTTGTTCCCAAACCCCTCCTTAGCGCGGAGCTAATCTGCGCTGATTGGACCAATGACAGTCTGTCGCGATTGGTCGACTGCCTTCAGTCAGAGAGGGAAATGGCCAATAGCTAATCAGCAATTTAAAAAGTAATCACAGTTCATACACGCTCGATAGTGTAGACGTGGATTTTAGCTGCCACACTATGGCGAGTGGATAGTGCCACGGATAACCGAACGAAGGAGACAGTCGTGTACTCGCCATACCACACACACACAAAAACACACACACACCTCCGGATGACAACGCTCCCGCTTCCGCCCGCACCCGCCAGGTTTTAGCCTGAGAACCCGCTCCGTTTTCTGCCCGCCGCGCCCGGTCCCGCTAGAGCGGAGAACACAACCAAAGATCACCCAGTATACAGTCCAGACAGCCAAGCTGTCTGTATACACACATACACACAGCACAAAGTACACAAAGCTCGTTCGTTCGTTCGCTCTCTCTCTCGCTCGCTCTCTCTCTCTCTCTCTCTCTCTCCCCGCGCCAGATTTCTGCGGCGCGGGAATACATTTCCGAATAAATCGCGGGAGCAGAACTCTAGCACGGAGCTCCATAAACAAACAGCACGCGTCGCGTTTTTAACGTGACTGCACGCGATAAGATAATATATCCAGTTAACCTGATACAGTACACGCGGTTACAAGTAACAAATCACAACTAAATACATTTGCAAGCTAGAGTAAACGAGGCAACAACTTTAACCGCACGTACTTACACTTGAGAAATGTAGGAAGAAACCCATCCTGACGTCCATCAGTTACTCTTTACTGATCCTTCCTTTAACAAACTCAGATGAAGTATTCTTTGTAGCATGTAGCTTCCAGAAGTTTCCAACTGCTTGGTTATAATGCTGATGTTTCATCTTTGGGTAGAGACTCAATATAATGTCCATCTGCAGTGTGACTTCAATCGACCGGCATGTTTGTGTGCGTGTGTTTGTGGGTGTGTGTGTGTTTGTGGGTGTGTTTGTGTCTGGGTTTCTGCGTCAGAGGGCGGGGCTTCAGGTTTGAAATCTCCCGGGTTTGCGCGTGCACGTGAATAACTTGGTTTCGTTCGTACGTCATGGCGAAACACCTAATGAGTCGGTATCAAGGCGACTCGTTTGAAGCACTATGAGTCGACTCTTTTATAGATGAATCAACAGTTTTAAACACTGTACACTAACAGATTTAAGCCTTAGCTGGATACTTCACTTCACTTAGAGCTGTGTTACACACTACATGGAGGGGAATTTTCAAAAACCCATAATATGGGCTCTTTAAAGTCCACCATTTAATAATTTAGCAAATAATTCGACTACAGATGTCCATGTAAATACCATCACTTTCTCCCCTGTGTGTGTGTGTGTGTGTGTTTTGAGACTGAAACTCGCGCATGCCCAAATAGACACTCCTACACCATCCCACTTTAGTTTCTCCGACACTCCCCCCTAAACAGAGCTGGACACGCCCACTTTTCTGACTTTTTCCAAAGTAGAGGTGTGAAAACACCCTGCTGAAACAAGGGGGTTTCATGGCCCTTTAAGTTTACCAACTATGATGACTTCCTATACTGAGAAACCTGCAAATGTGAAAAGGCTCCACTGTAGGTTTTATGATTGTTACCGCACCAAATCTAGTGTTTCCTAGTGGGCAGAATTTTTACCGGTGTATTGCAAATGATAATAAATCTCCCATTCTTACGACACAGGAGTGAAGAGATGGTCAGCTCCTGTACTGAAGATCTGCAGGTACACATTGAGATTTAGCTGAGCAGAAACACACAGATCTGCATGATGAAGTGTGTGTTCGGTGCTCTAATGAGACACTAATAGCAGGAGCTCATCCTGAACGTTCACACGCGCTGGAGATCAGAGCTTTCCTCTTTTTCTGTCCACAAGCAACAAACGAATCTGGGAACATTTCTGCAGATTAACTGCTCATGGGAAAAGACTAAAAGATACACGCAAAGAAAAGGAGGACTTGTAAATATAAATAACATCAGTTAATGTGTCATGCTGCTGCAGCTTCAATATATACACTCTTTCAATAAAAGTTTGGGTTCTTTTATTTCTTTGATGCATTTGAGAGTCTCTTCTGCTCTGCTTGGCTGGATTTATTTAATAAAAAAATGCTGAAAACGGCAAGGATGTGAAATAATTATTATTATTTAAGGAAAACTGGACTTTAAATTAGGTAAACTTTTATGTCTTAAACCCTGCTCACACTGTATGAACAATAATGATGTAATAAAAAATATAAACATAATAAAGGAACATGAGATCAGAATGAATATGTCAGAATCATGCAGCTCTTAAAGCAACAGTGCGCTATATTCCTGCTGCTGACTGTGTTTATCATTATTAGTCAAACTACAAAAGCTGAGAGGGAAATCACTCTCTGCCC